TCGGTGCGATTAAACATTAAGCGATAGGCTCAAGTGGTATCACCTTACAAAAAAAAAAAAACATATACATTCCCATCTAGAGAAAAACGATTTCTTTCATCCAACAATAATTTCTCACACAATCATACTCATATCACCACCACACGACAAATAAAGAATAACATTTTCTTTAGTGATACTTATAAGGAAATCGTCTATCGATATTTCTAGAAATATCGATGTAGACACTTCTTAAAATTTCTCTCATCCTTATAAGTATATTTATATATGTTTGTAATGAAATGTATTAATATTTCATATATTTTTTTAAACATTTTATCAAACGACAAATGAAAAACCGACAAAGTAAGAAATACATCTTCGATTCGTTTCAAATATCACATGGCAAGGCACGTGAATTTTATCGCGCGTGTGACAGGATTTACGAAACAAAAAAAAGAATAAAGAGTTGCGTCAGGTTTTTTGTTTTGTATAACTTTCATTTTTCTTTACGTATTTTGAATAAATTTTTTTTTTGAAGGAGATCTCATAATTTTTTTTAAAATAACATTTGTACGTTATTTATATAACAGCCTTATCAAGACCTTTTTTCATATTTTACTTGTTGTAGATAGCAGTGGGAAGTCGCAGTATTTATTTAAGATAATTTATTTAAATAATACCCACGAATTTAAAGAGAGTTAAAATAGAAACTAGTGATAATTTGGATAATAAGATTGTGATGCTATTTTTATACTATTGATTGACTAATTAATAACATAAGTAATACTTTAAATTGAATATAAATAATGTGAAATAATCTGAAAAACGAAGAGAATATTAAAGATATGTTATGTATTTATGGGTGGTCTGTTATGAATAATTGGTCCGATACCGATACCCTTATCTCTAGTTTCTCCTTATCTTATAGAAAAAGCCAAAATCAACAGAAGGAGCTCCCCTTTCTTTATCGTTTTTCCTTTCCACTCGCTTGATCAACCGATAGCTTGTGTGTATGTGTGTGTGTTGCATGTTGCCTAATGCATAATGTATTTTTCTCAGCATTGTCTAAATAATATTTTTTATTCTACAGCATGCCTAGTTATTATATACAATACCTAGGAAAAGTACATAATAATTCATATATTTGGTACATTGCCTAAAAACGCCAGTTATTATCAACAATCCTTAGGTATTCTGCAGAATGCCAGCTTTTCGTACATTGCCAGTAATTAAAAAAATTATTAAATTAAAATTATTAAAAAATGATTCCTTAGATACGTATTAGAAATATTCCTTCTTTAAAACAAAGTAAAATGAAAATAAAATTAGAACCACTCTAGATTGTTCTATATGGTATCATTAAAATTACAAAAAATTATTTAAAAACATTATGATATAATTAGTTTCTAATAATCAAATAAAGAATAGAAATAAGAATATGTGTGTGTATAAAAATTGGAAAATGATATGATATTGCAATGAGAATTTAGAATGGGGATAGATTGTACTGTATCATAATTTAAAAGTAATTTATGTTTTAAAGCAAATATTATGTATAGCAAAATTTTTTGAATAATCGATTTATTTTTAGGACTCATTTTTTAGTTGGTTATTGATAAATCCAACGATGATAACCTGTAACAAAAAAAAACTGTTTTAATTATTTTCATTTGTAATAACTACTACAAATTATTGACAAGCAAAATAATAATGTAATATAATGTAAAGTTGCTAAAGAGCCATTCTCAAAAGATTCGCGAATATGCTCTTGAATCTTAGAAAATTCGAACATGTTGTTAAACTTTGAAAATAACTCAGTAGCATCTCTCTCTCTCTCTCTCTCTCTCTCTCTCTCTAGTTGCCCTCTTGAGCCACAGTTAAGTGGAGGCCCCTTCGGCATTAAGCTTTTTCTTTTCTTCGTACATTACTGCTTTCGGACATACCCGTGTATGCAAACAAGATAAGAGTCTTTGATGAAATATATCCATCATTCAAAAAGTGTACTATCAAAATGTGGCATTCTAATTCTCAATTATTAAAAGATTAATTTATATTTTCCGTTCACTTTTCTTCCTCCTGGACTATTAATAAATTTAGATTTCATTGATCATACACGAGCACATTTAATCGAATGTTCAAGCAGATAATAATTTTCCTCAATGACCTAATAACACTTCGCACTTTTAATGTCAAATAATAAAATGGAATTGAAATAAGTAATGCAATAAATGTAATACATTATCTTGCAATACTTTTATTTCATTTATTCGTTACATTAAATTATATCAAATATTTCTAACAATGAAACAAAATCGCGAATGTGCGTAGTGCTAATCTTGTAATATTTAACCCTTTTAGTGCCGCGCGACGATATATCGTCGTGAAAATCACTTGCGAAAAGTGCCGACGACGATATATCGTTGCGTATGCGATGAGGTCCTTGTTTTCGCATTGCAAGACAGCTCTATTTCAAAATATATTTATAAAATGTTATTAGCGGTCTAATTTCATTGCAAAAGAATAAAAACATATTTTTTACTTTTATTTTTAGTTATAATTTATGCTGATTGTTGCTGATGCTCTGTAGGCGCTTGAGCGATAAGATAGAAATTCTATACATATTCAACGATAATTTTTAGAGATTGTAATCGGATTCTTTTCAGGATTTTTATCTGACAATTCTAATGTTACACCATGTATCGACACAGGGAGACAGAAATCTTTTTTTTAGTCTTTCTTGGTCTTGGAACAGAGAATTTTTTAGTAGTCCTTATTGGAAAACTGTACTTTTCGTTTCAATTACAATTAGTCGTCGAAAATTTTGTCAGTTTTGTTGCTATCTTTTTACAAAAACTATACCCTTTACGCGGATATAGATGACACAGAATTAGTTCGAATTATTGACACGTTAGAAGTAAGTGATGAAGATGTTGACAGTGAAGACTAATTATCGGTCTGACGCTTGCCGTACATCATGTAGTTATCCTTTTGTTCTAAGGACTAATATTAGTTATTTTATTAAAAATTAATGAAAATGAAATACTTATAATTCATACTGCGTGACCTGAATGAAATTGATGTTATTATTATGATTTTAAATGAATATTAAAAATCAATTGACGTTATATTACTGTCCGTTTCTTCCGCAATACGCTGCATTTTAAAATCGAAATAGAAATGAATCTTTCAAATAGGTCCAAATCCCTTTGAATCATGACACATGATAAAGATCATAGAATAGTTACAAAATAAATTTGCAAATCAAGCATAATAGAATGAGATGATAAAATGTTATAACAATTCTGTATAAGCCAGGAAGCGGAATTTCCACTCCGGAGTGGAAGCAAGTCTTTCCTGGTTCTTACCTACTTAAAATTAAAGTTTTTACATTCGCTCTAAAAAGTATGCTACCTGCCTGTCTATTACTCATATTTAAAAAGAACAAACATACATACCCACTCGTTCACCCTACGGTTCTCTCACATACCACCAGGGTGCAAAAGCCTAAACTAGAGAGCATGCCCTGGGGGACCTTCGACACCCTAGTTCAACCACGTTTTCTACACTTATATGTTAATGGTATACGTACTTTTTGCTGTAATTGGCTGCCAAGGCTAGTGATTATTGCATAAAAAACTATAGCAAAAATACAAGTATACACTAGTAAATATGAATACTAGTAATATACGAGTATATCAAAGTTTCCACAAATAAATGTAGTAATTTTACTATGCAAAATGATTATCAGAAAAAATTAGAAATATTTATTATAAATATAAAAATACAGATACGTGTATTGTATGTACAGAATGTACAAGAAGTAGTGTTTTGAGTATTAAATGATGTATTCAATGAATAAAAAATTTCGCGAAACGATGTATGGTACACACTACCTAACATGCACATACAGGTGTAAAATACATCGTGCAACCACTAACACGAAGTCAATAAATTTTATTGTTTATTAATAAAATTTATTAAGTTATTATTTATTAATTTAATTATTTATTTTATAGTAATCGGAACATAAGTAGAATGTATTAGTGCAATAGAATAATCTTATCCATTATCCTTTCCCCCTCCTTTCCCGAAGAGATAAAAAATGCTAAAATCAGAACGTTTTAATCCTTCATTTTTTTAATTAGGTCGGTACATTGATACATAGATCATATATTTCAAGCTTTTAGACAACAATAGACACTTGCATCGATTAATTAATACCATGTAGAAATTATCGGGCAAGCTTCGGTGGCTCCTCGTTTTTATGTTTTAATAGAAATATAGAATTGATTTTTGATTTATTTAATAAATAAATTATCTTCTAGAGTTTGGCTAGCGTGGTCATAAAGAAAGACGAGTTAGTGTACGTGTTTAATCAATGCACTTTCTTTTACATTTCTACAGGTGTTTTGATTTTTCTAATAATGATTGTGTGCGCTTTAAATGATCCCAAAATGCTTGTAAGAGAAGGCGTAAGGTGCTCATAGCGTGTCGCGACGAGGTTGACCGAAGATAGCCGAATAGGAGCGAAGCGCTACGAGAGAGGCAACAGGCGGTCCGTTTCGAACGGTCGCGCATGTATTGCTCAAGGTGGCTGTAGTCTGCCGTTGGCATTCATTGTGCGTGGATCGTGTTTTGCTGTATTTCTCATTAATACTGTCTCTGGCATTTTCATTTTAGTGCAGTTTCTCATATGTGTTACATACATATTTATACACATATTTTTTTATTATCCTGACGTTAATACGTACTACGTAAAAGAAAAAGAGATATTATGGAAAATGTTGCATTAACTTGTTTTTCTTTCCATAGTAGTTAGTTTTTATATTTTCCTTTGAACGTTAACTGAAAAAGAATAAGAATAAGAGAAAGGATATAATAAAGGAAAATATGAGAGAATTAGTTTCGACTAGAAAAGGTGACTGAACGAATTGCGAAGAAAAAAGAAAAAAAAGTTTTTATCGTGTGTGCGTATTGTGCGTGTTTTTATGTGTTTTTTGGTGTGTGTATGTGTGTTTGTTTCAACGGAATAAGTGAGAGAGAGAGAGAGAGAGAGAGAAGAGTAAAGTATTCTCTCGACCGTTGTTTAAAATATTCGTGTAAACAGTCCCGCACAGCTTTAGAATAGTTCTCTTCCTTCTTTTTTCTCTTCGTTTCTTACTCGCGTATTTGTCGTCAAACACGCGGTACCCACCACCATCATTCAGAAAGAAAGACCGACGAGGAAGAGAGGATCGAATACCATAGGTAGTATATAGTAGTATCTCCGATATTCTTTACTGCTAGCAAGCAACGTGTACCGGCTTGTTGCATCAGCGACTTTCGAGAGAAAGAAAGGTTCCGTTTGCGCGAAAACTGTTTGTTCGTTTATTCGTTAGTTTATGTGACGTTACCCTCGACGAATATAAGAAGAATAAGAAGAGAGAATTAAAGAGAGGTGGTATATAAAGAAGAAAGGAGCAGTCAGTGTTCTAAAAGAAAAAAAGAAGAAGAAGAAGAAGAAGAAGAAAGAGATAAGCGTGGGAAGGAAGAATAAGATTTTCATCTTTTCAATCTCTTGGGAAGTTCGTATTGTTTCACGGGGTCGCGTGATTGCCGCGTAAATTTTGAAAAACATGTAAACTGATTCAAGATCGTTATTTTTTTTTCTCCTAATCTTTCTCTCGTCGCGATATTTTTTTTTTTTTATTATCGTTTAAGCGCGATAATATTTAATAATTGATAATTCTATTTAATAATAATAATAAAACGTACGATGTCGATCTGCAGAAAGATGGCGGAGGAATTCTATATGAAAGTTTTCATCTTTGCGTTCTTACTCCCGGTACTTTGCGGTGGAAACGAGTTGAAGGAGTACTGTTCCACGCACAGGTTCGACAATCTACAAGGTGGCTTAAGATTCACCAAGGAGGTCATCAGTACTGAATACACTAACGTAGGACGCTTCAAATCTCTTCATTGTTGTCTACGTGGATATAGAAGCATAGAATGGTGAGTCAAATTACAATAATCATATTTATTGTTTTTTAATGTTTTACTTGTGAATTTGATATTAGTCCTTTTGTTGGAATTATATTTCTCTGTCTAATGACAATGTTAAATTGATATTCATCGAAAGGGGAAATAAAACACTCGTTGGAAAATATTATTTTATTTATTACACAGGTATTCAGATAATTGTATAAGTAATGATGACAATGACCTAATTAAAAGAATTACAAACAATTAATTTCATGATCATTCATGATATTTTTTTAATAGTATAATTTTATATAATTAATATATTTTTTTTTAATTATTGGACTTAATAATTTGTCATAATTATCAGTACATATATATATCTTATTATTCTTCTTTAGTTAGAACGTCTTACGAATTTCACTCACATGCTTCGTCGCTCGCATTTCTTTTATAATAGGAGTACTCTTCTTTCTAGCCCTTTGTGAGGGTTATATATCTCCGTCTTTTTCTCGTTTGCCAAAGCGACTAAACGTGATTCGTTTCGGTGGATTTCGACTTTTCGTCGGAACTATTCGTAACAACGAGACGAGCGAAATGGAATAAGAAAGAAAGGGATAGAGAGAGAAACAGAGAGAGAGAGAGAGAGAGAGAGAGAGAGAGAGAGAGAGAATGAGACATCTCTCTGATTTCTTGGAACTTTAAACCTTTGATATTAAATTTTCGCCTTTACTTTTGCTGCTAAACTTCGTTCGTTCTTTTTGAACACAAGTACCGAGTAATTAGAAAACTTATTTCTAAAAAAAAAAGTAGACAAAACAAAAATACACAAGAAGTTGTTAGAAGTTATAAGAAAGAAAATCACATGATTATTGTGATATTATTTTAAAATAATATATATAGTATAGAAGAAAAGTATTGACACAATTCTATATTAAATTGCATTCTGTAAATTTGTTAAATATTTGATTTATTTTATTTTATTTGTTAGTTTAATATATTTCTCTCGTTTAAAAAATGTGAGTATATCGTAATTGATATCGTATTGATATAGAATTAAAAAACCAATAATAAAAATCGAATATTTGTTCATTTTTAATTGAAAGAAAACTTTTTTATTAAACAGTTTTTTTTTTATTGTATTTTATTTGATTTTTATCATAAACAATCCTTCCACGACTTACAATATGAAATTTTATGTTTTATATCCAAGAGATATATTTTACAAAACAAGATTAAATAAAAGATCCTACTTTTTACAGATTTACATATTACTAAAAAATATTAAATACGGTGGCTAATTAAAGTATTAAAGTTGACTAAATTTCTTTTCGTGTATTTGTAAAAAAAAATACAATTGGTTTTGTAATTTTTTTTTTTTCTACAGATATATTTCTCGAGACAAAAATGTAAATGTATTCTAAATAATTTAAATGGAAGATTAAAGTTGGTACATAGAATAAGAAATATATAAAAACAGCATAGAAAAGCCCGTTTTAATTGAAAATAATTTCTCGAACCATTAAAAGGAATAATTGTTTTTTCTTTTATCTTTATCATAAATCAATGTAATCCTTTTTCATGGCTTACAATAAATTTGAACATTTTCGTCTTAAGAGATATATTTTAAAAGAAAAAAAGAGAAAGAAAGATTAAATAAGGAATCATACTTCGGGCAGATTTACTAAGGACGTTACAAGTGGTAGAATTTGTGTATTTATATTACTTTTGTTAAACGAGCATTGTATAGATATTTCTTAAAGGGGATATTTTAAGTTTCTTGGAAAAATGTTGAAAGGAAGAAGAAGAAAAAGAAGGTGAGGAACGAAAGATGACGAATCATCTTGTTTTCGTTTGCTATGGATCGTCCCTGAGAAACGTTTTCTATGGTTGAATTATTCTTCCGAGGGAAAAGGTTCGTGCGAAAAGTGGTACGACGGCTTATCGTCGTCGTCGTCGTCATCGTCGTCGTAGGAGATGCTCTCGTTCTTCAAATTTTATTCCCTCGCGATCATACCAAACGGTATTATGATGCACCAGCTACGTCGATCGAACGATCATCTTACTGGAATTTCACGATATTTTCCTCGACTCTTCACTTTCTTCCTTCCTTCTTTCATTTTAGGTTTTTTTCATAGTGATTCTCAAGCACTTATTCTTCAAATAATTTCTATTTATTTCATTTATCTATTATTACATCAAACATTTTTTCATTGACTTTTACAATCACATTTAGTAGTTTGTTGTTCAACTTCGATGTCATGTAATTATAGATATAGTGTTGATTTCTTTTTTTTTTTTTCAAATAATTTTCATTATATTTATTGATATTAAATTTTCTTTTATCTCTCCCTGTTTTATTTATTTATTTATTATATTTATAGTTATTAGGTATTTCTGAAAATTTCTTGCTTTTTCTTGGTACTAAGTTGCACAATATTTTATGTTATTTTACTAAATATTATCGATTCTATTTTTTCTATACTGTATATTACTTAACATAAAAAATATTGTGCGCTATGTAAAATTATTAAAAAAAGAAAAAAGAAAGAAACTTTTACGAAGATCTAATATATCATAATATATTTTATTTATTAATAATCATTGATAAGAAAGATTCTATTAAAAATAATTATTATACAAAATTCTTCCGATTTATTTAATTGTATTGTGGTTTGATTTTTTTTCTTCTTTCTACTTTTTTTTTTCCTAAGGTTTTCCAAATTCCCTTTGTAATTCCTCCCATGTTGGTATATTCCTTAGTGAGTCACAAGTTGTGTCGACTATTTGGACGTTGTATACGGCTTGTAATCCTCTCTTTCTCTCTTTCTTTCTTTCTCTCTCTCTCTCTCTCTCTTTCTTTCTTTCTTTCTTTCTCTTTCTCTTTCCCTTTCCCCGTGGTCGTCACTTCCGCGAAACGTGATAATTATCTAGTGGTCTCGTAAACTTAACGATCGGCAAGGAAGTCTTTGTTTCTCTGCCCCGCCACACGTTCTTGGAATTGAAGAGAGAAACATTTTTCTTCTTCTTTTGGAGAAARGAGAAAAGAGAAAAGTGAAAGGTGAAAGGAATACAAAAGAAAAGAAAAATATATGTTAAATTTGAATGACTTCTCATACGTTAGACGATGGTTCCTTTCGATAATTTTCGTTTTGTTCGATGATTATTAGAAAAGATTTTGATAAAATATATCTAATCGTAACGAGACGTATTTTTGATGAAGAGAAAAAAAAGATAAACACGAGAGATTATAATCTCTCCCTTGACAAAAGCAGCAGCAGCAGCAAAGACGATCCGTGCGACCAACATGATTTTCAAGTCGATTCACCATACTTTTGAGAAAAGGTTTGAAGGGACAGGTCAAAGATACAGTGTAAGGGGGAGGAAAGATTTAGGGTTTGTCAAAGGATCACCATTGGGGGTCTAAAAAAGAAGTTCGGTAAAATACTTTTCTATAAAGAAATTCTGCGAAAGATCGAAAAAAGCTATGGAACAAACAAAATAATGAAAGAAAAGAAAAAGTAGAGAAATACGAGCAAGAGGAGGAGAAGGAAGTTAAGCTTCAGAAATTCTCTATTCCATCGAAGTTTAGACGAAAATGAGCCGAAAGCAAGCAAAAAGAAAAAGACCTGAATGAGACCGAATGGAGGGTCGAACCAATGAAAAGAGGGAGAGAGATAGATAGATTTGTAAGGTTTTGAATTTTTAAGTTATTCGCATAACAACAAAAACACTGGTATAGGTACCTCTCAAGGGTTTTTTATTATTCAAACAAAAGAAAGATTTTTAGGATGCCTATTGTAAGTGCTTAATGGCGTACAAAATTCCAGGTGTCAAACGTTTTTGTTTGTCATGAATCTGTATTCATCTCAGACCTGAGGACATACTCCAACACTTAAGCTATTTCTTTTTAATTTTTCTTTTATCTTTATTTACAAAAATCCCAAATGGTGCGGCGTTGAATAAGAAAAAAAGAAAAAAGAAGTAGAGTAAGTTATGCTTGATTCTTTATTTCTTGACGAGCAGAAAACGGCCCACACACCTGTTACGTCTCCATCGAACGTGTCCCTCTCTATCTTTCTTTCTCTTTGTGCAAATATACAATGTGTCTCGTTTAATATCAATCATAATGCACATTAAAAATATGATCGACAAAATATGGAAAGTAATGTTGAAAGTGATGATAATATTTCATTATTTGTATTATATGAATTACTTATATTTCTTTAATAGAAATGTAATAATGATATAATTATTATTTATTATATACTTATTATTAATTTATTAAAGCTAAACTATTTCTTTTATGATAATGTAGTTGATTAAAACTTTTTCTTGTATAATAATGGTAAATCTTTTTTCCACATCTCTTAGAATACTTTGTCTTTTATTCGGTTTACCACGGCTCGTTACCCGGCTTATCTCGAATTCTCAAGATTTTTCTCTCTTTTTGATATGAAATAGAGATAGAGATATTTGTTTGTAGTGTATTACTTTTACACGTATTATAACTCGTACAAACGTATGAGAGATAGAAAGAAATACATGTTTTTTTTTTTTTTTAACAAAATTTCATTTTAATATAATTATTTTCATTTCCTTATTGTAAAATTATCATTTTTTATTCGTACTTGTTTTTATATCAAACTCGATCGATAGAAATAAATCTCTTCTTTTTTTCTATTTAAATTTTTACTAAATATTTAATTAAAATCTTTCAATTAGGACCTACTACTCCCTGTACGTTTTTATCGGCCTTTCAACGTTGCGTAAAGTATTAAAAACAAAAACAAAATAACAAAACAGGGAAAGAAATTATACGAACATTTTTTTCAGAGTTGTACGTAATGGTTCAGAAGTTAAAGAAGGTAGGGTAGAAAAGGTTAAAAAAAAAAAAAAAAGAAAATGAAAGAACAATTTTAACGTCGCGAACAGAAGAAAATGCCGGCGGTGGTGGTAGTGGTATGGTATGATAGTAGTAATAGTAGTAGTAGTAGTAGTAATAGAAGAAGTGA